TATGTTTGTGGTGTATGGTCAAAAGAGGCCTTGACGATGAGATATTTTTTGAATTAAATAAAAAAAAATCTTAAAAACTAATTTCTTCTGCAAAATATTATTTAAAAACCAGTAAGGAAAGTAGTAAAGTCGGACGGGGCCGACTATATGATACCCTTCACCACTTTGGGTATATTCTACGTATGTATCCAACAGACATAGCTTGTTATTATTATAGACGTAATTCAGTATGCTATGATAAATTTCGTGCAAATCGAAAGATATATAGGGTCTTTGATGCACCAATTACCTTAAATAATATATATATATATATAGGAGCTATATCTAAATCTGAACAGGTTTTCAGAAAACTCTGCACACATCATTCAAAACTTAATTCAGTACGCTATGCCAAATTTCTTGCAAATCAAAAGATATATAGGGACTTTAGTGGACTATTTACCTAAAACCGGGCGAAACTATATATGGGAGCTATATCTAAATCTGAACCGATTTTCACGAAACTTTGCACACATCATTCTAGACTTAATTCAGTACGCTATGCCAAACTTCTTGCAAATCGAAAGATATATAGGGACTTTGGTACAACATTTACCTTAAATCGGAGGAAGATATATACGGGAGCTATATCTAAATCTGAACCGATTTTCACGAAACTTTGCACACCTCATTCTAGACTTAATTCAGTACGCTATGCCAAATTTCGTGCAAATCGAAAGATATATAAGGACTTTGGTACACCATTTACCTTAAATCGGAGGAAGATATATACGGGAGCTATATCTAAATCTGAACCGATTTTCACGAAACTTTGCACACATCTTTCTAGACTTAATTCAGTGCGCTATGCCAAATTTCGTACAAATCGAAAGATATATAGGGACTTTGGCACGCCATTTACCAAAAATCGGGCGAAACTATATATGGGAGCTATATCTAAATCTGAACCGATTTTCACGAAACTTGGCACACATCTTTCGTGGCTCAATTCTGTACGCTATGCCAAATTTCGTGCAAATCGAAAGATTTTGAGGGTCTAAAGCCCGTAAATCGGGCAAAAATATATATGGGAGCTATATCTAAATCTGAACCGATTTTTTTCAATAGGGTTCGTCCTTGGGCCAAACAAATGAGCTGTGCCAAATTTCATCCAAATCGGATCATAAATGCGACCTGTACTTTGTTTACAATTTAACATGGACAGACGGACAGACGGACGGACGGACGGACATGCATACATCGACTCAGAAAGTGATTCTATGCATATTCTCAAAAGGAACCATGGGTCTATCTCGATTATTTTTGCCTGTTACAAACATATGCACAAAGACATAATACCCTGTACCACAGTGTGGTGAAGGGTATAACCAGTGAACGGAGCAGTATAGTCGGACGGGGCCGGCCATACGATACCCTACACAGCCCTTCTAATTAGTTGTCCAGATTCCCTTCACCGTGAGTCGTGTTGCGATGTTTGGCTTATAATTGTGCACTATTTTCTGTATTTTTTAAATTTTGGGTCCACTTCATCCCAAAATTATTATCTGATCATCACCGAAAATTATAGGCGTTGTCTGACAACAACTGGAATTTCATGGAAAATTTCAAAGCGATCTGCGGGTTACTAAATAATATTTCAGAACGTAATCACCTGTCAATTTTTAAGTGTAACTCACACATCTGAGTACATACGACCATATAATTGGTATCAATTTAAAGATCAGCCACTCCTCTTGGATATACTATCAACTTCTCGGGTCTCGGTTTACGCCATAGAATACAAATTTTGTAATTTTTTACACAAAACTCAGGGTTCATTTGATCTTCTAAATATTGGCTAATCTTTATCAAAACAGGCATGCTGATGCTTTGGCCCGATCCCCTTCTCCATGTAAAATTTGCGATATCTGGAGAGACCATAATTGCGGTATCTGGAGCGACCAGAAAAACGATAAAAATTAAGTATTTGGTCCATTTCATCCCCTAAATATTAACCAATCTTTATCAAAAACAATAGGCCAGAACCCATCCTACATGAAAAATTCCGTAAAGATTGGTCCATAACTGTGGCCTGTATCGTGTTTACAAATTATAATGGACAGACGGACGTATGAACACACATGTCGAGATCGACTCAGCTAGTCGAGATATGACGATCGGTATACTTAAAGGTGGGTCTGGACCAATATTTCGCGGCGTTACAAACTCTTTTGGGCTGCACAAAGCTATAATACCCTGACAACATAGTTGTGTAGGTTATAAAAAAATTTGCCTTGTTGTTGGACCTATATTTATATAAAGGAAAGCGCTTAGTCTGAGGACGATTGCTGATTCTTGGGACAAATTGCAAATTATTGCTGCCTCGGGAGGAAGAATTGCTTGTACCCTGGGACAAATCAGACATAGTGAGGGCCCCTTAGAACAATATCAACATCTACCCACGGACTAAGTACATTTGCATACTCAAGCCGAGTTAGGAGTTTGTTTAATTACATATTGGACAAATTCCGGGGTTGTCAAAATAGGCAATCCTCCAACAGCCGTTGAAAAAAATATATTTTTTTTAAATTAAAAAAATAAATACTAGATTCACTTTCTGAGTCGATTTATGCATGTGCGTCCGTCCGTACATGTATTTTTGTGAACAAAGTACAGGTCGCATTTATTATCCGATTTAGATGAAATTTGGCACATATCACTTATTTGGCCCAAAGACGAACCCTATTGAAATTAGAGCAAATCGGTTCAGATTTAGATATAGCTACCATATATATTTTCGTCCGATTTAATGTAAGTGGTGCACAAAAGTCCCTATATATCTTTAGATTTGCACGAAATTTGGCATAACGTACTGAATGAATGATGCCTGCCAAGTTTAGTGAAAATCGGTCCAGATTTAAATATAGCGCCCATATATAGTTTCATCCGATTAAATGTAAATTGTGCACCAAAGTCACTATATATCATTCGATTTGCACGCAATTTTGCGTAGCATACTGAATTGATCCTGGAGTGTAGTCTGCCAAGTTTCGAGAAAATCGGGTCAGATTTAGATATAGCTCCCATATATATTTTCGTCCGATTTAAAGTAAATGGGACACCAAAGTTCATATATATCCTTCGATTTGCACGAATTTTGGTATAACACACTGAATTAAGTCGAGAATAATGTGTGCTAAGTTTCGTGAAAATTTGTTCAAATTTAGATATATCTCCGACCTATTCATGTTTATTGTACACCATATAATCAATGAGTACATGATTGAGATTAAATTTTAAACAGTGCAGCGTAGCAAAAAGCGTGTGTAAAGTTTGCTTAAAATCTATTTACAAAATTTAAAATAGGTTGCAGAATGGCATGTGTTAGGATTGATGTTAGTCGGTTCACATAGATAAAGATCGCATATTTAAGTTCGTTCAATTTCATGTCAATGTTCCTTCGAAAGGGCGGCGTCTGTTAGGATACATATGTAGAATATACCCAAAGTGGTGAAGGGTATCAAATAGTCGGTCCAGTCCGACTTTACTACTTTCCTTACTGGTTTATATTAAAATAGTTATCTGATTTGTTCTGCGTTTTGGGTTTTGGTTCTAATACTCTGTTGTAATCATTTCACCTGCGGAGGATAGCGAGATAAAAAACTAGAACGTAAAGTTCGATAATTATCTATATATGAACTATAGCTCGGTTTTAGGCCAAGGCCTAGCCCCTGTATGGGAGATACCAAAAGGAGTGGACCGATATTCCCCATCTTTGAACTTGAACTAAGTTTGGAAGAAATAATCAGATAGGCTAAGTTTGGATGAAATCAAAATTTTCTGCAATGGATTTGGTCCAAGGAAACATGGGTTATAGAACCAATATTTCGATGAGGCATATTTTCATTGTATACACCCTCATTAGCCATAAGGCTAATAATATTTTAAAACCAGTGAGAGGAGCAGTATAGTCGGACGGGGCCGACCATACGATACCCTACACAACTACCACGGAACTCTAACTCTCTGCGAATGTTTATTCCGAGTCTATGCAATATTTCGTGATATTTGCCCCCTCTTACCCGATTAGAGGTCAACAGCACCTCTTCCTTACATTTTCGAATACTCGAAAACACACAAAAAATTAAGTTTTCGGTCCATTTCATCCCAATACTATTATCTGATCATCACCGAAAATTGTAGGCGTTGTCCTTGAGCATAACTGGAACTTCATGGAAAATTTCAAAGCGATCAGCGGGATATTTCCGCCCTCTAATGTGGTAATGGGTTACTAATAATATCTGAATACCTAAGCACCTGTAAATATTTGAGTGTAACTCGCAGATCTGAGTAGATACATAACTGTATTTGGTGTTAATTTAAAGGCCATCCACTCCTCTTGGATATGCTATCAACTCCTCGGGTCTATATCCTTCAGGAGTAAATATATAAACCCCAGAATAAAAATGTTGTAATTTTTCACACAAAAGTCAGGGTTCATTTGACCCGCTAAATATTGACCGATCTTTATCAAAACAGCCATGCTTATTCTTTGGCCCGACCCCCTTCTCCATGTAAAATTTCGCGATGTTCGGGCCATAATTACGGCCTATGGAGAGACCAGAAAATCGACGAAAATAAAGTTTTTGGTACATTTCATCCCCTAAATATTAACCGATCTTTTCCAAAAACAATAGGGGTCTTCATTGGCCAGAACCCATCCTACATGCAAAATTTCGTGAAGATTGGTCCATAACTGTGGCCTGTATCGTGTTTACAAATTATAATGGACAGACGGACGGACACACATGTCTAGATCGACTCACCTAGTCAAAATATGACGATCGGTATACTTGAAGGTGGGTCTAGGACCAATAATTCGCGGCGTTACAAACTTTTGGGGCTGCACAAAGCTATAATACCCTGACAACATAGTTGTGTAGGGTATAAGAATATTTTTAAGGGACCCATACAGGTCGTGCATTTTTTTAAGATTCTTTTTTTATTATTAGTAATTAATTTTATTTCGTTGTTTGGTCCTGTTTCCTTTTTTGAGCATATACCACAAACATATCTGAAGCTACGGCATACATTGAATCCCTCAAAGACAATCCTCGTTTTTTCGCAGTAGTTTCGGCCATTACCGTGAAATAATCTTCCAAGAATTCGTCATGACATGATTTGGGAATGAAATCGAAAATACCACAAACGGGAATTATATTTTCTGGAAGATAGAGAAAAAAAATATGATCAAGACCCAAAATAGGTATCCTTTGATATGACTTACCTTTAAAATTTTCAAAATTATCATAATAATAAATTCCCTCCTTCACCTCAATGCTAATATTACAAAATCCCAAATCTTCCATCATTTTACAAAAAGTCTCTTTGGGATTTGAGCAATTGTGTAAAGGTGATACAAAACGATTTACATTTTTGATATATGGAGACCATTTTGGAGTGGAACTAATTATGTGATTGGCCTCGAATATGTTGTTGTAGCCAAAGAATGTTAAAATGCAATCACCGCCCTCCGGACGCAAGAGTTTGAAAATATTCTCCAATGCCGTTCTGTAAACAAGAATTTATAATTTAATTTTAAATATTTTTTTTTCAAATAAATTCCTCACCTATTATCTGGTATCCAATGTAGTACCAAACTGGATATTACATGATCAAATTGACCCAACATATCTGGGGGTAATGAATTTTCCTTGGCAATATTAATAATCCGCAAATGACACTTTTTTGGAATTTCATAATTATTTTCGAAGAAATTCAACATTTTCGATGAAATATCACTGAATATCAATTTTTCGATATTTTCAGGCATTAAGGGATAGACGTAATCCATAGAAACATCTCCTGGTCCACAACCAATTTCTAAGACACTATCGCCGCCGTCCGGACGCCATTGCAACTTCGAGGCAAATTTTCTTAACAATTGTCCAGCATCTTTTTTCACCGAACTATGAGATTTGTGATACAATTCTAGTTTATTCATTTTGTGTGTGTGCGAGCGTATTTTAGAAAATTCCCCAAAATGACTGAAGCTACTAACTGACACCTACTGGCTTGCTGTTACTAGTTTTTATATCAAGTGTTGAGTAACTGAGGTAAATGCCTCTTACATTGAATACCTCTATTAAATTTAGTGGCATAGATCTCTAACGTTTTACAATCTGTTAAAAGATGGTTAGTAGCCATAAAATACAAAGTGCTGGGCAATAAAACGTTCATTATTATTATTGAAATAAAACATATTTATTTAATTAAAAAAACAACTTTATAGACATCACATGTATCGGATGATAACGTATCGGTACCCACAATAACTTACTTTTTTAATTTCAACCAGTAAGGAAAGTAGTAAAGTCGGACGGGGCCGACTTTATGATACCCTTCACCACTTTGGGTGTATTCAACAGGACCATTAAAATGAAATTGGATGAACTAAAATAGTTGATATTTATTTAAATGTGAATCTACCTAGATATATCCATAAAGTATGTAAATCGACTTCAAACAAATATAAATAGTCTGTACTTCTGGAAAACGCAACTACGTAATTCTATGCTAAATTTTGTAAGTTGTGCAAAATTTGATGTCAATCTGACTAACATGAGGAGTTGATGCCCAATTTACCTGAAACCAGAGGAAAATATATATGGAAGCTCTATCCAAATATTAAGGGATTTGGAACAAACTTGTCACAGATTAGTTTGTTCTAATTTCAGAAAGTTTTGTTCCTATCAACTCATTGGTTCCTTGGTGCGTCAATTACTTAAAATCAATCTATAATAAAAGGGAGCTATATCTAAATCTGGACCGATTTTCACGAAAAAAGCAGACATCATTCTAGGCTCAATTAAGTACGTTATGCCAAATTTCGTGCAAATCGAAGGATATATAGGGATTTTGGTGCACCATTTACATGAAATCGGACGAAACTATATATGGGAGCTATATCTAAATCTGGACCGATTTTCACGAAACTTGGCAGACATGACTCTGGGCTCAATTCAGTACGTTATGCCAAATTTCGTGCAAATCGAAGGATGTATAGGGACTTTGGTGCACCATTTACATGAAATCGGACGAAACTATATATGGGAGCTATATCTTAATCTGGACCGATTTTCACGAAACTTGGCAGACATAATTCTAGGCTCAATTCAGTACGTTATGCCAAATTTGGTGCAAATCGAAGGATATATAGGGATTTTGGTGCACCATTTACATGAAATCGGACGAAACTATATATGGGAGCTATATCTAAATCTGGACCGATTTTCACGAAAATTGGCAGACATCATTCTAGACCTAAAAGATTAGGCTGTACCAAATTTCGTGCAAATCGAAAGATATATAGGGACCGTTTATATTAAATCGGTTAAATATATATATGGGAGCTATATCTAAATCTGAACCGATTTTTCCCAATTTCAATAGGGTTTGTCCTTGGGCCGAATAAGTGACCTGTGCCAATTTTCATCCAATTCGGATAACAAATGCGGCCTGTACTTTGTTTACAATTTAACATGGACAGACAGACGGACAGACGGACAGACGGACAGACGGACGGACGGACGGACATGCATAAATCGACTTAGAAAGTGATTCTATGCATATTCTCAAAAGGAACCATGTGTCTATCTCGATTATTTTTGCCTGTTACAAACATATGCACAAAGACATAATACCCTGTACCACAGTGTGGTGAAGGGTATAAAAATCAAAATACGCGTGGATTTTCTTTGAAGAATATTTTTTTCAGAGGCGTGGATTTTTTAAAGAATATTTTTTCAGAGGTCTATAAGAGGCGTGGATTTTTTAAAGAATATTTTTTCAAGGGTCTACAAGAGGAGTGGATTTTTTAAAGAATATTTTTTCAGACAACGAAGCACACACGGGGTGGATTTTTTAAAGAATATTTTTTCAGAGGCATGGATTTTTTAAAGAATATTTTTTCAGAGGCGTGGATTTTTTAATTAATATTTTTTCAGAGGCGTGGATTTTTTAAAGAATATTTTTTCAGAGGCGTGGATTTTTTAAAGAATATTTTTTCAGAGGCGTGGATTTTTTAAAGAATATTTTTTCAGAGGCGTGGATTTTTTAAAGAATATTTTTTCAGAGGCGTGGATTTTTTAAAGAATATTTTTTAAGAGGCGTGGATTTTTTAAAAATTATTTTTTCAGGGGCGTGGATTTTTTAAAGAATATTTTTTCAGGGGCGTGGATTTTTTAAAGAATATTTTTCAGGGGCGTGGATTTTTTAAAGAATATTTTTCAGGGGCGTGGATTTTTTAAAGAATATTTTTTCAGGGGCGTGGATTTTTTAAAGAATATTTTTTCAGAGGCGTGGATTTTTTAAAGATTATTTTTTCAGAGGCGTGGATTTTTTAAAGATTATTTTTTCAGAGGCGTGGATTCTTTAAAGAATATTTTTTCAGAGGCGTGGATTTTTTAAACAATATTTTTTCAGAGGCGTGGATTTTTTTAAGAATATTTTTTCAGAGGCGTGGATTTTTTAAAGATTATTTTTACAGAGGCGTGGATTTTTTAAAGATTATTTTTTCAGAGGCGTGGATTTTTTAAACAATATTTTTTCAGAGGCGTGAATTTTTTAAAGAATATTTTTTCAGAGGAGTGGATTTTTTAAAGAATATTTTTTCAGAGGCGTGGATTTTTTTAAAAATTATTTTTTTCAGAGGCGTGGATTTTTTAAAAATTATTTTTTCATGGGCGTAGATTTTTTAAAGAATATTTTTTTAAGAGGCGTGGATTTTTTAAAGAATATTTTTTAAGAGGCGTGGATTTTTTAAAGAATATTTTTTCAGAGGCGTGGATTTTTTAAAGAATATTTTTTCAGAGGCGTGGATTTTTTTAAGAATATTTTTTCAGAGGCGTGGATTTTTTTAAGAATATTTTTTCAGAGGCGTGGATTTTTTTAAGAATATTCTTTCGAGGACTATCTGAGGCGTGGATTTTTTTAAGAAAATTTTTTCGAGGACTTTCTGAGGCGTGGATTTTTTTAAGAATATTTTTTGAACTCCTTATAGAGGCGTGGATTTTTTTAAGAATATTTTTAAGGACCTGCATGAGGCGTGGATTTTTTTAAGAATATTTTTAAGGACCTGCATGAGGCGTGGATTTTTTTAAGAATATTTTTTTAAGGCGTGGATGCATATTTTTTCAGAGGCGTGGATTTTTTTAAGAATATTTTTTCAGAGGCGTGGATTTTTTTAAGAATATTTTTTCAAAGACCCAAACAAGGCGTGGATTTTTTTAAGAATATTTTTTCAAAGACCCAGACAAGGCGTGGATTTTGTTAAGAATATTTTTTCAAAGACCCAAACAAGGCGTGGATTTTTTTAAGAATATTTGTCAAAGACCCAAACAAGGCGTGGACCCAAACAAGGCGTGGATTTTTTTAAGAATATTTTTTCAAAGACCCAAACAAGGCGTGGACCCAAACAAGGCGTGGATTTTTTTAAGAATATTTTTTCAAAGACCCAAACAAGGCGTGGACCCAAACAAGGCGTGGATTTTTTTAAGAATATTTTTTCAAAGACCCAAACAAGGCGTGGACCCAAACAAGGCGTGGATTTTTTTAAGAATATTTTTTCAAAGACCCAAACAAGGCGTGGACCCAAACAAGGGGTGGACCCAAACAAGGCGTGGATTTTTTTAAGAATATTTTTTCAAAGACCCAAACAAGGCGTGGACCCAAACAAGGGGTGGACCCAAACAAGGCGTGGATTTTTTTAAGAATATTTTTTCAAAGACCCAAACAAGGCGTGGATTTTTTTAAGAATATTTTTTCAAAGACCCAAACAAGGCGCCGATTTTTTAAGAATATTTTTTCAAAGACCCAAACAAGGCGTGGATTTTTTTAGTTTATTTTTCAAAGACCCAAACAAGGCGTGGATTTTTTAAAGAATATTTTTTCTAAGACCCAAACAAGGCGTGGATTTTTTTAAGAATATTTTTTCAAAGACCCAAACAAGTCGTGGATTTTTTAAGAATATATTTTCAAAGACCCAAACAAGGCGTGGATTTTTTTAAGAATATTTTTTCAAAGACCAAACAATGCGAGGATTTTTTTAAGAATATTTTTTCATAGACCCAAACTAGGCGTGGATTTTTTTAAGATTATTTTTTCAAAGACCCAAACAAGGCGTGGATTTTTTAAGAATATATATTCAAAGACCCAAACAAGGCGTGGATTTTTTTAAGGAATATTTTTTCAAAGACCCAAACAAGGCGTGGATTTTTTAATGAATATTTTTTCAAAGACCCAAACAAGGCGTGGATTTTTTAAGTATACTTTCTCAAAGACCCAAACAAGGCGTGGATTTTTTAAGTATACTTTCTCAAAGACCCAAACAAGGCGTGGAATTTTTAAGGAATATTTTTTCAAAGACCCAAACAAGTCGTGGATTTTTTAAGAATATATTTTCAAAGACCCAAACAAGGCGTGGATTTTTTAATGAATATTTTTTCAAAGACCCAAACGAGGCGTGGATTTTTTAAGAATATTTTCTCAAAGACCCAAACAAGGCGTGGATTTTTTTAAGAATATAAACAAGGCGTGGATTTTTTTAAGAATATTTTTTCAAAGACCCAAACAAGTCGTGGATTTTTTAAGAATATATTTTCAAAGACCCAAACAAGGCGTGGATTTTTTTAAGAATATTTTTTCATAGACCCAAACTAGGCGTGAATTTTTTTAAGATTATTTTTTCAAAGACCCAAACAAGGCGTGGATTTTTTTAAGGAATATTTTTTCAAAGACCCAAACAAGGCGCCGATTTTTTTAAGAATATTTTTTCAAAGACCCAAACAAGGCGCCGATTTTTTTAAGAATATTTTTTCAAAGACCCAAACAAGGCGTGGATTTTTTTAGTTTATTTTTCAAAGACCCAAACAAGGCGTGGATTTTTTATTGAATATTTTTTCAAAGACCCAAACAAGGCGTGGATTTTTTAAGTATATTTTCTCAAAGACCCAAACAAGGCGTGGAATTTTTAAGGAATATTTTTTCAAAGACCCAAACAAGTCGTGGATTTTTTAAGAATATATTTTCAAAGACCCAAACAAGGCGTGGATTTTTTTAAGAATATTTTTTCAAAGACCAAACAATGCGAGGATTTTTTTAAGAATATTTTTTCAAAGACCCAAACAAGGCGTGGATTTTTTTAAGAAGGCGTGGATTTTTTTAAGTATATTTTCTCAAAGACCCAAACAAGGCGTGGAATTTTTAAGGAATATTTTTTCAAAGACCCAAACAAGGCGTGATTTTTTTAAGTTTATTTTTTCAAAGACAAAACAAGGCGAGGATTTTTTTTAAGAATATTTTTTCAAAGACCCAAACTAGTTGTGGATTTTTTAAGAATATTTTTTCAAAGACCCAAACAAGTCGTGGATTTTTTAAGAATATTTTTTCAAAGACCCAAACTAGGCGTGGATTTTTTAAGAATATTTTTTCAAAGACCCAAACAAGACGTGGATTTTTTAAAGAATATTTTTTCAAAGACCCAAACAAGGCGTGGATTTTTTAAAGAATATTTTTTCAAAGACCAATATGGATTTTTCGAAATATGATTCAACTTCTCTTTGGTGCTGTCAGAAATATGTCCTGTCCCAACAATTTATGTAATTAACACTAATTAATGTTTTTAATTATAATTACATCATATCTCCATTAAACATCAATATTTTATAACAAAATTCAATTTGTAATATAAGAACTAACAACAAATGTGTCGCTTTCGGCTTTGTTTCCGAATTTCAGCGTCATACTAATTACATGAACGTCCAAATATTACAATGTAATTATTATTTGTTTTTATAGCATATTATGTAAATGAATTATATACATATTCGGATAATTTAAATCTGTAATAAAAAAATCACCATCGTAATAAATTTTACAGTATTTAAGAAATTGCAAGCCTACACCTGTCAGTTTGTTGTAAAGTGTTTGCTGCACCGTTAAGAGTTTCGCAATTTGTCGTCGCACTCAAAAAGATATGAATAAACCAGAATTGTATTACAAATCACACAAAGCTGCCAAACAAGATGCAGGACAGCTGCTAACAAATTTTGCCACTAAATTGCAATGGCGCGCCGAAGGAGGGGATACTGTCATAGATATTGGCTGTGGTCCGGGTGATGTTTCTATGGATTATATTTTCCCGTTAATGCCGTCAAATTTTGGAAAACTTATTTTTAGTGATATATCGATGACGATGTTGGATTGTTTTAAAAATCAATATAAAATTTCGGAGAAGTGCGGATTCAAGCAATTCGATATTCTTGGGGAAGTACCCAATGATATGTTGGGCCAATTTGATCATGTTATATCAAGTTTACTACTACATTGGGTACCCGATAATAGGTCTGAATTAAATAAAAACTTCTAAGTTAAAAACTATTAATAATTTATTTTTTGTTTACAGATTGGCCCTGGAGAATATGTATAAATTGTTGCGCCGTGAAGGTGGCGATTGCATTTTAGTATTCTTTGGTTACAATAACATTTTCGATGCCAACAACATAATGAGCTCGAATCCCAAATGGTCGCAGTACATCAAAAATGTTAATCGCTTTGTGTCACCTTTACATGATAGTCCAGATCCCAAGAGGACATTTTATAAAATGATGGAAGATGCTGGATTTTGTAATATTAGCATTGAGGTGAAGGAGGGTATTTATTACTACGATAATTTGGAAAATTTTAAAGGTATGTATTTTGCATGTTTGTATAATTATACCCTACACAACTATGTTGTCAGGGTATTATAGCTTTGTGCCGCCCCAAAAGTTTGTAACGCCGCGAAATATTTGTTCTAGACCTACCTTTAAGTATACCGATTGTCATAACTCGACTCGCTGAGTCGATCTAGATATGTGTGTCCGTCCGTCTGTCCATTATAATACGATACAGGCCACAGTTATGGACCAATCTTGACGAAATTTTGCATGTAGGTTGGGTTCTGGCCAATGAAGACCCCTATTGTTTTTAGAAAAGATCGGTTAATATTTAGGGGATGAAATGGACCAAATACTACATTTTTGTCGGTTTTTCTGGTCGCTCCAGAGGCCGCAATAATGGCCCGAACATCGTGAAATTTTCCATGGAGAAGGGGGATCGGGCCAAAGAATAAGCATACCTGTTTTCATAAAGATCGGTCAATATTTAGCGGGTCAAATGGACTCTGACATTTGTGTGAAAAATGACAAAATTTGTATTCTATAGCGTATATATTTACCCCTGAAGGACATAGACCTGAGAAGTTTATATTATATTCAATAGGAGTGGTTGACCTTTAAATTAATACCAATTATATTGTTGTATGTGCTCGGATGTGGGAGTTACACCTAAATATTTACAGGTATCTCCGTATTCGTTAATTATTTAGTAACCCATTATCACTCTAGAAAGCGGAACTATAGCGCTGATCGCTTTGAAATGTTCCATGAGGTTCCAGTTATGGCCAAGAACAACGTCTATAATTTTCGGTGATGATCAGATAATAATTTTGGAATGAAGTGGACCGAAAACTTAATTTTTTGTGTAATTTTCGTGTCGATCTATAGACAACAAATGAAAGCCGAACATCACAACACAACCCACGGTGAAGGAAATCTGGACAATAGTTGTACTGAATACTCGTAATATTCGGAAAATATGTCAGTGTGAGGAAGAGGTGCTGTTTACCTCTAATCGGGCAAGAGGGTGCAAATATCACGAAATATTGCCCATTCTCGGAATAAACATCCGCAGAAATTTTGAGTTCCGTGGTAGTTGTGTAGGGTATCGTATGGTCGGCTCCGTCCGACTATACTGCTCCGCTCACTGGTTTTCTATTTTATTAATGCATTTTGAATTTTTTCATTTCAGAAAATATTATTCCAGTTTGTGGTATATTTGATTTCATTCCCACATCAAGGCATGAGGAATTTTTGGAAGATTACTTCAATGTAATGGCCGAAACTGCTGCCCTGAAACGTAAATTACCCAAGGAAGATTTAATGTATACAATGGCTGCAGATATGATTGTGGCATATGGTCAAAAAAGGCCACGAAATTCTATAGAATAAAAATAATTAATATAAAATACATGTTAGTTGTTAACTATTGAGCGGAGCAGTATATTCGCACAGGACCGTCCACGTGATACCCTACACAACTAAAACTGAACATTAACTTTATATCGATCTATATTCCGAAGCCAGGCCATATTTCGCGATATATACACCCTGCAGCAATGTTTGACCAGAACCATACTTACATGCACATATTCGTTGACAAATTATAACGAATCACTCTAGCCTCTAAACGAATTGAGATACATCGCCGAAATTTTAAGTGCAGGCAGGTCAAGTTCGAAGATGGGCATTATAGGTCCACGGTTAGGCATAGCTCTCATAGAGGGGACCCCCAAAATTTCGGTATTTTAGGGTTCTTGAGCGCGTTCTTTAACCGAATTCGCTGAAATTTGGTACATTAGGTTTTTATTGGGTACCAAATATCTCCACTAAAAATTATAAATATAAGTCCATTCCTTCTGGTAGCCCCCATTTAAGGGTACCCCCAAATTTTTGGTATTTTGTAGTCGTATATGATAACAAATCTTCCTACTAAAAATTATTAATATTCACCATATTTTAGATGTAGTCCCCATATAACCCACTTTTTATACTCTTCACCATTCTGTGGTACAGGGTATTATGTCTTTGTGCACATGTTTGTAACAGGCAAAAGGAAACGAGATAGACACATGGTTCCTTTTGAGAATATCTCATATATATATATATATATATTCGCATAGAATCACTTTCTGAGTCGATTTATGCATGTCCGTCCGTCCGTCCGTCTATCTGTCGATGTTAAATTGTAAACAAAGTACAGGCCGCATTTATAATCCGAATTGGATGAAATTTGGCATAGGCCACTTATTTGGCCCAAGGACGAACCCTATTGAAATTGGGAAAAATCGGTTCAGATTTGAATACAGCTCCCATATATATCGTCCGATTTAATGTAAACGGTTCCTATATATCATTGGATTTGCACGAAATTTGGTACAGCGTAATGAATTAGGTTTAGAATGATGTGTGTCAAGTTTCCTGAAAAACGGTTCAGATTTGGATATAGCTTCCATATATATTTTCGTCCGATTTAAGGTAAATGGTGTACCAAAGCCCCTATATATATTTCAATTTGTACGAAATTTGGCACAGCGTAATGAATTAGGTCTAGAATGATGTGTGTCAGGTTTCCTGAAAATCGGTTCAGATTTGGATATAGCTCCCATATATATTTTCATCCGATTTAAGGTAAATGGTGTACCAAAGTCTCTATATATACTTCGATTTGCACGAAATTTGCCACAGCGTACTGAATTAAGTCTAGAACTATGTGTGTTAGGTTTCCTGAAAATCTGTTCAGATTTGGATATAGCTCCTATATATATTTTCGTCCGATTTAAGGTTAATGGTGTACCTAAGTTTCTATAAATCCTTCGATTTGCACGAAATTTGGCACAACGTACTGAATTAAGTCTAAAACAATGTGTGTTAAATTTCGTGGAAATCAATTCAGATTTAGATATAGCTCCCATATATATTTTCTTCCGATCTTCGGTAAATAGTCCACCAAAGTCCCTTTGTATCCTTCGATTTGTACGAAATTTCGCATATTGTGCTGAATTTAGTCTAGAATGTTGAGTGGTGAGTTTCGGAAAATCGGTTTAGATTTCGATATATCTCCCATATATATTTTCGTCTGATTTTATGTAAATGGTGCACCAATGTCCCTATATATATCCTTCGATTTGCACAAAATTTGGCATAGCGTACTGAATTAAGTCTAGAAAGATGTGTGTTAATTTTCGTGAAAATCGGTTCAGACGGCGTACCGAATAGCGTGTATCAATTTTACTATAAATCGTTTTCCAAAATTTTCCCCATGTAACGCAGACGGCTCTAAATCTGCTCGAATGAAATTAATGTTAGGATAGGTTGAAGAAAGAGGGTGAAGGGTATCATATAGTTATCTCCTTTGTTCCGCGTTTTGGGTTTGGTTCTAAGACTCTGTTGTAATTATTTCTCCTGTGGAGGAGAACGTTGAACTATAGTCCACATTTGGGCCTAGCCCCCGTATTTTTATTATAACCTACAAAACTATGTTGTCAGGGTATTATAGCTTTGTGCAGCCCCAAGAGTTTGTAACGCCGCGAAATATTGGTTTGTCCCACCTAGACCCACCTTCAAGTATACCGATCGTCATATCTCGACTAGCTGAGTCGATCTAGACATGTGTGTCCGTCCGTCCGTCAGTATAATGTATTAACACGATACAGGCCACAGTTATGTACCAATCTTCAGGAAATTTTGCATGTAGAATGGGTTCTGGCCAATGATTGTTTTTGGAAAAGATGGGATAATATTTAGGGGATGAAATGGACCAAATACTTAATTTTTGTCGGGTTTTTTGGTCGCTCCAGTGGCCGCAATTATGGCCCGAACATCGTAAAATTTTACATGGAGAAGAATATCGGGACAAAGAATAAGCATGCCTGTTTTCATAAAGATCGGTCAATATTTAGCGGGTCAAATGGACCCTAACTTTTGTGTGAAAAATGATAAAATTTGGATTCTATGGCGTATATATTTACTCCTAAAGGACATAGACCCGAGAAGTTGATAGTATATTCAAGAGGAGTGGCTGACCTTTAAATTGATGCCAATTATATTGTCATATTCACTCGGATGTGGGAGTTACACTTAAATATTTACAGGTGCTTATTTATTCAGATATTATATAGTAACCCTTACCACACTAGAGGGCGGAAATATAACGCTGATCGAATTGAAATTTTCAATGGGGTTCCAGTTATGGTCAAGGACAGCGCTTGTAATTTTCGGTAATGATCAGATAATAATTTTTGGATGAAATGGACCGAAAACTTAATTTTTTGCAATTTTTCGAATCGAATAGGCCACAACATACAACCCACGCTGAAGTCGATCTGGACAAGTAATTATAATATGGACAAATATTAGTAATGTTCGGAAAATATGTCAGTGTATGGAAGATGTGCTGTTGACCTCTAATCGGGCAAGAGGGTGCAAATGTCACGAAATATTTCCCAGGCTCGGAATAAACTTCAAAGTTAGAAGTGCGTCGTAGTTGTGTAGGGTATCGTATGGTTGGCCCCGTCCGACTATACTGCTCCGCTCACTGGTTTATATTTAGCGCAAAGAAATATATTCTAATGCAAAAATTTTAATTTCGAAATAGAGCTTGAGAACAGATCAATTAGGCCTCTTCTCAATAAAACCTGTGTATATTGGTGATGGCCTTATATAACCCAACCATGCGTCGTCAATATCGGACCACTTTCTGGGGTTTTTAGGAAAAATATCCACTAAAAATTGCTGAAATTTGTATTTGGTGTACATTGCATTTTTTGTATAGATCCACTTTTGGGTATGTAACCTATAGTTTCGATGGTAGTATCTGTTAGTATACCTATGGTGGAGGGTATCCAAAGTTCGACCCGGCCGAACATTTTTGCACTCGTTTAATTGTCTCTTTGTCGCCGAAATTATCTCTTTGCAATTTCAATTCCAAAAGTATTGGACACCACTGTATAATCAATGACTGCGCCAAAATCAACTACGTTTCAAAATCTTGTATTTTCCAATTTTTTTATTATTATTGTTCAGCGGAATACAAAAAATTTTTAAAAGTAGAACAATTTCAAAATTAAATTCATGTAAACATTTCGAACAAAAAGATCCCCGAAAACAAGTGTTTAAATAGCTGTGCAATGTCAACCAGCCGGCGAACAATTAATTTATGCAAATAAATGCATGTATGTACATGTTTATAACTCTATATATTAAAATTCAAAATTGTTGCATAGGTTTAGTACAATTTTTCAAAGCTTAGATCGTGCATTCAAATTCTAATTTTTATGTAAAGGAGAATGGACAATCCCCAGCTATATTACGATGCCCATGAACTGCAAAAGAAAGATGCCATTGCATTCTATAAACAATATGCCTCGATGATCCGTTGGCGTAATGATGGCTGTGATTCGGTGATAGATATTGGCTCGGGACCAGGAGACGTGGTTAGTGATTGTCTTTATCCACGAATGCCTCGAAAATATCAGCGCTTGGTATTCTCTGATATTAAGAGGAGCATGATGGAATATGCTCGCAAGCATTATCAACACTTACCGAATACGGAGTTTAAGGTATTAAATATTGAATCACATGAAGAATTGGCGGAGGATTTGAGAGGTCAATTTGATCATATCACATCGAATTATTGTCTGCAGCTGGTGGTGGATCAGAGGTGAGTAGGGACTTGTAAAACCCTAAAAATATCTGGAGGGCATTTTAAATCCGTTAAATCGATCGGGACCTTTATATGGAGAATAATAAATTTGTTTTTTTATTTTTATGCAGACAAGCTTTCACAAATATCTACAATCTATTGCGCCCTGAAGGTGGTGATATTTTGATAAATACCGCACCCTATGTATCGTTATTTGATGGCTTCACCAGTCTCAGTCATAATGAAAAATGGTCACCCTATATGCAGGATACACAATTATTTACCTCAGGTCTACAGCATGTTGAAAATCCCAAACAATATATGTTGGATTTATTGGAGGCAATTGGTTTCCGCGATTACTATGTAGAGATAAAGGATCGTGTGTATATCTACACTCTGGATGCCTATAAGGGTAGGACATAACCCTCGTAATTTAATAATGAATTCCAATATTAATATTTTCAATATCTCTCTAGTTAATGTCAAAGCCATATCACCATATATACCTCGCATACCCATCCATATGCAGGATGATTTCATGGAGGATTTTATTGATGCAATTATTAACTTAGATTGGGAAAGTCCTATATATAGTAGAGAGGATAATACCATCAGAATGCCATATACACAAATGATTATTTATGCCAGGAAACCGAATACTTTGAAATAAAAACCTTGGAACTTTCTTTTCTATAAAAAAAATCTACTTTTGTGTGAGTTTCTCGCAAATTGATTTTGTAACAAGTAAAAATATCGTTAAATTCTGCTGGATCGTGCGGTGGACATTCACAATGCCTAAAATCGATGGTAGGTTGTTACGGGAGAAAACAAAATACCAAACTACAGGTACATAGGTGAGAAAACTGGGCATACCAACAAATGAGGCGGGTACTTTATATGGGGGGTTATATCAAAACATGGGCATATAATGATAATTTTCTGCGCAGATGTATGCCAGCTCAATATACCGAAATTTGGGCGGAACCTTTATAAGGGTGCTATGTCCAAATATGGACCTATACCGAACATTGTCGACCTATACTGTCATGTTCAAATATGGACCTATACTGGACCTATACCGTGGGATATTAAGAAACAAGTGAAAAAGCGGTAAATTCGGCCGGGCCGAACTTTGGATATCCTCCACCACAGGTATACTGACAAGTATTTGAAATGAAAAAGTGGACCGATATTTATAATTTTTAATAGAGATATTTGGTGCCCAATAAGAACCCAATGTACCAAATTTCAACGAATTCGGTTGAAAATCGCGCTCAAAAACCTCAAAATACCGAAAATTTGGGTTGCCCTATATGGGGGCTACCAGAAAAAGTGGGCCGATATTTATAATTTTTATTAGAGATATTTGGTACCCAATATGAACCCAATGTACCAAATAGCAGGGAATTCGGTCAAAAAATAAGAAAAAAACCCCAAAATACTGAAAATTAGGAGGTACCGTTATATGGGGGCTACAAGAAAAAGTGGACCTATATTTATAATTTTTTGTGGATACATTTACTATTAAATAAGAATCCAATATACCACATTTGAGCGTATTCGGTTGAAAAACACGCTCAAGTACCCCAAAATACTGAAAATTGGGGGGTACTGTTATATGGGAGCTATACCTAAACGTGGACCAATATATCCCATCTTCGAACTTGACCTGCCTGCAAACAAAAGACAAACCTATGCAAAATTTCAGCACTCTATCTCAATTCCTTCAAAAGATAGCGTGATTACAACAGACTGACGGACGGACATGGCTAGATCGTCTTAGAATTTTACCTTGATCAAGAATATATACTTTATAGGGTCGGAAATTAATATTTCGATGAGTTAAAAACTGACTAAATTAATATACCCCTCATACTATGGTGGAGGGTATACAAATAAAACCAACAAACTGATAGGGGACTCTGCCATGATATATACATGCCAGAAGGAAACGAAATACTAAACTACAGGCATTGGGTTTACAAAATTGGGCTAGGACCTTGAAAATACCGAAAAGTGGCCGGAATTTATGTTGAAAGGGGTTGGACATCTATGTGGGTCTATACCTATATACATACCCATATTTAAAGGAAGATTTACCACCCAATGAAATCTCAAAATATACCAAAACTGATATAAATAATTTTGGATATGAATATTTGACACTCAATGATGACCCAAAATATGAAATTAAAAAAAAAAAACAGCAAGGAAAGTAGTAAAGTCGGACTGGGCCGACTATATGATACCCTTCACCACTTGGGTATATTGTACATATGGATCCTTACAATTGTATGTCAATGTTACCTCGAAGGAACATATTCATGTCTTAGTGCAACCTATGATAAATTTAATTTAGAAAATATATATGGGAGCTATATCTAAATCTGAACCGATTTTTATGAAACTTAGCACACATCATTCTAGACTCAATTCAGTACGCTGTGCCAATTTTCGTGGAAATCGAAAGATATTTAGGGACTTTGGTGCGCCATTTACTTTAAATCGGACGAAAATATATATGGGAGCTATATCTAAATCTGAACCGATTTTCCAGAAACATATCACTCATCATTCTAGACTAAATTCAGTACGCTATGTCAAATTTCGTGCAAATCGAAGGATATAAAGGGACTTTGGTGCACTATTTACCTAAAATCGGAAGAAAATATATGTGGGAGCTATATCTAAATCCGAACCGATTTTTCACAATTTCAATAGGGTTTGTATTGAGGTCATTGACGAGAGAGGTTTATAGAATTCTTTGGAATAACGAGGGGATTGTAAAGAATATAAAACTACTGCGTCTTAACAACAACCAGCGACCGGAGCAATATAGTCGGACGGGGCCGACAATACGATAACCTACACAACTACCACGGAACTTTTATTCTGAGCCTGGGCACCTCTTCCTTACACTGACATATATTCCGAATATTACAAATGTTCAGTACAGTCCTTCTAATTAATTGTCCAGATTCCCCTTACCTTGAGTTGTGCTGTGATGTTCGGCTTATAATTGTGGCCAATAGATCGACTCGAAAAGAAAAGTTTTCGATCCACTTCATCCTAAAATTATTATCTGATCATCACCGTAAATAATAGGCGTTGTCCTTGTCCACAACTGGAATCTCATGGAAAATTTTAAAGCGATCCGCGTTTTATTTTCGCCCTCTAGTGTGGTAATGGGTTACTAAATAATATCTGAGTACGTAAGCACCTGTTAATATTTACATGTAACTCCAAATCCAAGTACATACGACAATATAATTGGTATTAATTTAAAGGCCAACCACTCCTCTTTGATATACTATCAACTTATCGATCTATGTTCTTCAGCAGTAAATATATACGCTGTAGAATACAAATTTTGTAATTTTTCACACAAAATTCAGGGTCCTTATTACCCGCTAAATATTGACCGATCTTTACCAAAACAGGCTATGTATACTTTATGTAAAATTTCCCTATGTCTGGGCCATAATTGCAACCTCTGGAGCGAACAGAAAAACCGAAAAAATTAAATATTTGGTCCATTTCATCACCTAAATATTAACCGATATTTAGCATTGGCCAGAATTCATCTTACCTGAAAAATTTCGTGAAGATTGGTCCATAACTGTGTTTACAAATTATAATTTGACAGACGGACGGATGGTCTAGATCGACTCAGCTAGCCGAGATATGACGATCGGTATACTTAAAGGTGGGTCTAGGACCAATATTTCGCGGCGTTACAAACTCTTCGGGCTGCACAAAGCTATAATACCCTGACAACATAGTTGTGTAGGGTATAATGACACCAAAGGACATTTCAGCAAACCGCAGAGCACATGGAGACGACAACGAAATGTTGGAAGATTTCCTATCCCCCACTCTCGAGTTTAATACTATTCACTACCTTAATGAGATGATGGGTTATGAATGGAAAACAATGATGGAACTCTTAATGAACACAGAATTCGTAGAAGAATAAAGAAGACAATAATTTTTGATAAATCTATGCTTAGGATAGTCCACAAGGTTTTCGAAAATATATATTTTTAAAACTCTACTTTTTGCTCTGAAAGTTCCTTTTTAAATAGACGCTAGAAAAAATACAATCTATAAACCAGTGAGCGGAGCAGTATAGTCGGACGGGGCCGATCTGCGGATTTTTATTCCGAGCCTGGGCAATATTGAGTGATAGTTGACACTCTTGCCCGATTAGAGGTCAACAGCAACTCTTCCTTACACCAACATTTTTTTCCGAATATTACAATTCTGTGGGTTGTTTTGACTCGGCTTATAATTGACTCGAAAAAAAAACACAAAAAGATAAGTTATTTAGCGGATCCATATAACCCGCTAAATATTGACACATCTTTATCAAAAACAGGCATACTTATTCCTTGGGCCGATCCCCTTCTCCATGTAAAAATTCGCAATGCTGGGCCATAATTGTGGGGCCCAGAGACCAGAAAACCCGACAAAAATTAAGTATTGGTCCATAATTGTGGCCAGTGCATTGTTTACAAAATTGGACAAATATCCTTTAGGCAATGAAACAATATTTTTTAAAAATCCAAGCTTGATTTCCAAATATATATTACTTAAAAAACCCTAAAAAACAAATATATATTTACATGACATTTTAATTGTGATTTGATTACGAATATAAGACAATTATAAATTAATTCAGAAGAATATCACAAAACAGGTTCTTGAATACTGAACTGAATATGAGAAATCTGCTAATAGCTTGTCTGGTTTCTACAATTAAACAATAAATCGTATTTTATTTCCCTATACTGTTATTAAACGACTGTCAGCAATTAAATTATTTCCGGCTAATTATTCAAAATTAACGAGGGCAAAAAATTAAATGCAGACTTGATCAGCATATTTGTAAAAATAATTGAGACATCAAATATTTGAAAGAAGTGGCTTATGAATATCAAATAAGCATTGCTAAAGGATCACCTCAAATGAAGATTTTTTAAAGAGTATTTTTCAAACAGTATAATGAGCGCAAATGTTTTAAGCTCGATTACAAATATGGACTTTTTATACCCTACACAACTAAGTTGTCAGGGTATTATAACTTTGTGCAGCCCCAAAAGTTTGTAACACCGCGAAATATTGGTCCTAGACCCACCTTTAAGTATACCCATCGTCATATCTCGACTAGGTGAGTCGATCTAGACATGTGTGTCGGTCCGTCTGTCCATTATAATTTGTAAACACGATACAGACCACAGTTATGGACTAATCTTCACGCAATTTTGCATATAGGATGGGTTCTGGCCAATGAAGACCCCTATTGTTTTTGGAAAAGATCGGTTAATATTTAGGGAATGAAATGGACCAAAAACTTTATTGTTGTCTGATTTTCTGATCGCTCCAGAGGCCGCAATAATGACCCACACTCCGCGAATTTTTGCATGGAAAAGGGGATCGGGCCAAAGAATAAGCATGCCCGTTTTGATAAAGATCGGTCAATATTTAGCGGACCAAATGGACCCTGACATTTGTGTTACAAAATTACAAAATTTTTATTCTTTAGCGTATAGATTTACCCCTGAAGGGCATAGACCCGAAAAGTTGATAGTATACCCAAGAGGAGTGGTTGACCTTTAAATTGATATCAATTTTATTGTCGTGTGTACTCGGATGTGGGAGTTACTCTTA